ACTTCTGATCCAGCTCCCTCTTAACTTGAGAAAGCAGTGGAAGATGGCCCACATGCTTGCATCTGTGTCATCCACATGAAAGACCTGGCTGGAGTTCCAGGGTCCTTTCTAGTCTTGACCTGGCCCACTACAGCCATTTAGGAAATGAAGCAGTGGCTGAGAAGGGGTGTGTGTGTGTGTGTGTGTGACTCCCTCCCTCTGTCTGACATTCTGCCTTTCAAACAAATAAAACAGATCAAAGAAAGAAAAGACGGTGGAGGAGAGGGAAGAGAAGGGGAGGAGAAGAGGAGGGGAGAGGAGGAGAGATCAAGAGATCCCTGCACCTGATGGGGGACAGGACCCATGTTTCCCCTTAGGGTGAGGAAGATTGTTCAGGAGAATGTTGCCTGTTGACAGCATTTTGAAGGCGCTAAACACCACTACATTGAATTATAGCCTGCACAACGGTTTAAGTGGTAAATTGTACCTTCTGTGTACTTTGCCACAATAAAACAAAGAGGCATTTTCAGATACAGGGAGTGCCAGGAAGAGCAGTTAGCCGGGGATTGGGAGAGCAGAGCAGGGTGCAGTTCACTGAGAGGGACGGCCAGAGACACGCTGGCTCCAGATTCTGCTGAGAAGGCACTGTCACCTAGAAAGCAGCCTGCGAGGGGTCGGGGACAACAGCAGACCATAGGGCAAAGTGTGTATTGGGTGTCCACAGGTAGGCCCCCAGGGCAAGGGGCTGCATGAGCTCTGCATGTGTCCAGAGCATTTGGCTGCTGTGTCCTGAAGGGAGTTGTAGGGGACGAGAGCGAGGCTAGGGGACCCCTGAGAACATGCCAACACCGGGAATGTCTGCAGGCAGGTTCAAGGTTCCTATGACCTGGTGTTGACAACTGGGAGGTCCATGCCTGGAAAGGGAACACACTGAGGACAGGAGACCATAAGGCCCAGCTGGCAAGGTCGCCATGGTTACTGACTAGGTGCCCAGGGAAACGGACTTCATCACATGTCTTCCCTCAGGGCAGCCAGCGTGATCTAACACTGAAACACAAGGCCTGGCATGATGACTCAATTGGCTAATCTTTCCCCTAGAATTCTGGAATGACTAAACAAGCCCAAAAGACCCGCACAAGGTTGCAAAAACTTCTAGTTTCCTAACACAGGGTTGTGGGTTACACAGTGGCCAAGAGTGGACTAAGGCAGAGGGTCATGTGCAGGTCATGCCAATGCTGGAGGAGCTTGGCCTGAATCTTTGAGATGCTTCACAATGCAGCTCCCCACTGGGCAATGGCACCTGCCAGAAGTGCGATGAGAAGGTCATGTGACGGTAAATGAGAAAACTCCTGAGGGCTGTGTTTTCCACATAAGCAGACAATAGAAGAACCTCTGTGCTTTCACAGTGGCCCCTAGACTTCCATCCAGCTGACTCCTAGGCTCCCAACGGCATGCCCACCCGCTCCCTCTGCCCCAGAGCAATAATTCCCTGGGCCGCTACCAACTAGAAGGACCCAGGGCCCCAGGGTTTACTCCAGGTTCCCCAGGGACACCTTGAGATCTTGCAGGCTTCCAGCACCAGGGCATACCTCTGTCCAACAGTGTTCTGGGAGTGTCATGTGAGCTCCAGGGATAGTGAGGTCAGGCCTGCTAGGAGCTGGGACATGTTCCCAGAAGAGAAGGTGAAAGAGGAGCCCTCTGCTGACAAGCAGGACCAGGGCAGACTGACAGAAAAGGCACCATGGCATTCCAAACTAGCCAGAACTAAGCAACATCCAGCTTGAAGATCTCAAGCGACTGGCACACAGCTCAACAGAGACGCAGTACCTGCTTCCTCCTGGACAAACCACGAAGAGGGGCACTGGGAAAAGGGGTGCCTATGAACGGAAAGAAGCGAGAACACACAGCCGCAGGAGCCTGTCCCTGTCTTCTGCCTGGCCAAGTCCCAGCTATTGTGCCCGCTGAAAGAATGAATCAGTGGATGGAAGATTTCTCTCTCAGGCTCTCTCTTCCTTTTTCTTTGTGACTCTGCCTGTCAAATAAGCAAGTAAATCTTTTTTTTTAAAAAAAATTTGTTTTTATTGGAAAGTCAGATTCACAGTGAGAGACAGAAAGACCTTCCATCTGCTGGTTCACTCCCCAAAAGGCTGCAACAGCCAGAGCTGAGCCCATCTGAAGCCAGGAACCAGGAGCTTCTTCTGTGTTTCCCATGCAGTTGCAGGGTCCCAAGGCTTTGGGGCCATCATCTACTATTTTCCCAGGTCACAAGCAGGGAGCTGGATGGGAAGTGGAGCAGCGGGGACATGAACCAGCGCCCATACAGGATCCGTAGCACGCAAGGCAAGGATTTAGCCACTAGGCTTTCATGCCAGGCCAAAATCCTTTTTTTAAATCTTTTTTTAAAATCTGTCCATAGATCTATCATTTAGTTGAAGTCTCAAGTTCAGAAGTGTACAAATAGGGGCCAATGTGAAGGCTCAATTAATTAATCCTCCATCTGCAAGTGCCAGCATCCCATATGGGCACCATTTCATATCCAGGCTGCTCCACTTCCCTTCCAGCTCTCTGCTTGTGGCCTGGGAAAGCAGTCAAGGATGGCCCAAAGCCTTGGAACCTACACCCACATGGAAGACCCAGAAGAAGCTCTTGGCTCCTGGCTTTGAATCGGCTCAGCTCCAGCCGCTGCAGTCACTGGGAGAGTGAGCCAGCAGATGAAAGATTGTTCTGTCTTGCTCCTCTCTGTAAATCTACCTTTCCAATTTAAAAATAAATAAATAAATAAGAATGAATGGAGAAAACCTCAGTCCAGACCCAAGGTCAAAGTCACAGGACATGCATCCTGGTTGCATTTCCCAGCAGCTGGGTCACCTTGGAAATGCTGACTCGTCTGTGAGCCTCAGTTTCCTTGGTGTGAAGTGAAGTAACAAGGGCTTGACACTCCCAGAGAGACAAGAGTTACTAGGGGCAGGGCAGGCAGCTGACAGACAGAGTGCTTACAAAGTGGGGGGCTGTTGGAAGTCTTCATCAGCACCTCAGGACAGGAGGGAGCACTGTGTAGCCTGGACCCTCCGGCCAAAGGCTCCTTGGCCTCCGAGGACACGGACACACACACGCACACAACACACACACACACACACACACGTGCTGCCTAGACACTTTCAAAGGTAACACGGGAGCAAAGACCTGAAGAGGTCCTGACCCTTCTTTCCCATGCTATCTATATAAATCAGAAAATGAATCGCCCACAAAAGTCTCCTGCCCCAGAAAACCAAACGAGTTTAATGTATAATCTATACTTGAGAATACTGGTGTCACTGTGTGACACAAAAAATATAAATATTTTTGCACTGAAATCTGTAGGCCATCTGTCCTCTCCCAGAAGAGTCCCAAACAGAGGATGCAAGGCCCCTGGGTTCAGCCCAGGTGAGGTGGGAAGGCCAGCTTGTCGTTTTCCCAGCCAAGTGATGCAGGTGTCATGCAGTTCAGCCAAGAAGGCCCCGGCCTTGGCATTAGCCACCTGCGACCACGTTGGCGTTCTGCCACAATCACAAACTGCACACACACACACACACACATTCCAGAATCTTCCTGTGCCTGTTCAAAACAGGGATTGTTTGCTGTGTGCCGCCCTGTGCGAGCGCCAAAGGGAGCAGGCAGGGTGGAGCACAGCACCATGCTCCAGAGGCACTGAGTCCACCGGGAGAGCCAGGCGAGCAGATGACAAATGACAGCTACAGTGCTTGTGTGCTAGCACAGGGCTGGGTCCTGCATGTCAGATGACCGCAGAGGAACTCTTTAAGAGCATCCTCCCCCAAAATGCCAAGGGTAGCATCAGTCCTGGTGGTGTTTATCAGGAGAATAAAGGCAGCTGAGCCTTCCCAACAGGAAGAGCTGCACATGTGAACACCAGGATGGCAGCCAGCAAGTCCCAACAGCGCACTATGCGGGCAGGCCAGCAGTGAGGCCGGGAGCCACACCACCCAGTCCCTGGAAAGGATCTCATCTAAGGGGCCAGTACTGCAGCGCCTGCAACACTGGCATTCCATATGAGTTCTGGTTCGAATCCCAGCTGGTCCACTTCTGTTCTAGCTCCTTGTAATATGCCTGGGAAAGCAGCAGACAATGAATGGCTTAAGCTCTTGGGTCCCTGCACTCACATGGGAGACCCAGAGGGAGTTCCAGGCTGCAGGAGTGAATCAGCAGATGGGAGACCTGTCTCTCCCCCTCTCTGCAACTCTCTTTAAAATAATACATGTAGGGGGAAAAAAGACTCTGAACAATTCAAAGATACATATTGCTCTGGTGGACAGCATAGAATGAATGAGAGAGAGAAAACAAACAAACATTGCCAAGTGTGAAGCAAAGATCGCATCAAGTCCTGGCCCAGCACAACCTCAAGGCCTGTACGAGTGTCAGCAGCCCTCCTGTTTCCAGCCCGGCCATCCTGATCCATGGCCCTCCTCCACAGGGACATCTGTCCTCAGGTTTCACTGGCACCTGACTTGGAAGACCCCCTGCCTGACACACCCTCCTTCCAGAGGTCCCATGGGGTCTCAGGCAAAGCCCATGAGGACAAAGGTGTGGTGTGCAGTCCAAGCCCCAGCTGGAACCACCCTTCCTCACCTTGGAAACAGGAACTACAAGCCTGCAATGCACCCTGGCCCAGAGTCAGTGGTAAGGGTCAAGACTGCGCCCTCTTACCCACTAGGGAAATCCCAACTGCGTCAGCACCCTTTCAGGCCCCAGAAAGATGTCTTCCCGGAACCTGGGCCTCCACGCATGCTATAAAGCATGTCCTGTATGCCCAGTTCACAAGGCAAGGTTCCTGGATATACCCAGCTGCCACCCTAAAGATAAAAACGCAGGCTCAGTGAATGCCTACAGGACGAAGGTCTGAAGCTCCCAGCCCAGGCTTGCCAAAATGTACAACCTCCTGGAGTATTGGAAAACAAGCAGCCTCTCCTGCTTCCCACTGCCCCCCCATCCCCTCCCCTGCACCCAATCCCACCTCAGCCACGCACCTCACCTCGCTTGATGCGCGGAGGCCTGGAGCCCTTGGCCTGGGCCAGAGCCTCAGCAGCCTCCCGCTCCCTCCAGCGTCTCAGCTGCTCCTGTCGCATCTTATAGAAGAGGATGTGCTTCTGCACGTCGCTGAGCTCGGCCAGCAGCTCAGGGTCAATGTACATGTCGTGCAGGATCTGCTGCAGCATGCTGCAGAGTGCGCCCTGCAGCCAGCCCAGGGTGGGGGGCAGGGAGACTGGGCCAGGCAGGGCAGATCCCTACCCCGGCTCCTCACTCCGGGGTCGCTCCGATGCACAGCAGCAGCAGCATGGTCACTCTGCCTTAGCAGCAGCAGCCAGCTGGCAATAAATCCATCTCCTCCACCCCAGGGCACCAGGCAGCAGGAATCCAACAGCAACCCCTGGGCGCAATCCAGTTCCTTCTGTTGAGTCCTCGACTCCACATCCCAGCAGCATCTACATCATCGCCTCACCTGGGGCTCTGGGACACTGGGGAGGACCCAGGGCTGCCGTTCAGCTGGGCATTGCCCAGGCTCATCCCTGTCCGGGCCAGTAGGTGTCAAGTGATCTGTTAGTGGAAGGTAACGATGACACCAGCTGTATCGATGACACGGCCCCGGCCAGCTGAGAAACGATCTCTCTGATGCAGATAATAGAAGGGGAGAGGGCGGCGTGCACACTAGCTCCACGCCTTTGGAGCCTATTTCAGAAGCCAGAGGAGCCAGCATCCGCTCCCGGGCTCCTTAGGCCTTCACTCTTCATCGTTGCCAACTTGATTTTCCTGTATGTTTTCGGCATTAGCCAGGCAACGCTTCTATAAATCCTGCTCTGAAACCCTGTACCAACACAGACCAAGAAAAACAAAGAGATCCACAGAGAACAAGTAAAGGGAAAGATTCACGGTGAAGTTCAAGGAGCAGGTGGAAGCAGACACTGGAGCCATGCCCAAGCCTCACAGGGCTCATCCAGAGGATGTCTGTCCATCTCACTGTTTGTGGCAGAAGCCTGAAGTTCATCAACAAGAAAGAAGAGGAAACTGCTTCCTCTCTATGTTGATCAGAAGGGCTGGTTCATGCCTCCTGCTTGGATGGAAGCCACCCTCCTCTGGGCCTGTGACAGGTAGGAGGGATATTGTTACCAAGACTCAAAACAGACCTTAAAGGGGCCAGGGCTGTGGCATAGTGGGTAAACCGCTGCCTGCAATGCCTGCATCACAAATGGGCACCGGCTACAGTCCTGGCTTGCTGCTCTACTTTCGATCCAATTCCCTGCTATCGCACCTGAGAAAGCAGCAGAGGTCAGTCCAAGTGCTTGGGGCCCTGCACCCATGTGGGAGACCCAGACGAGGTTCCAGGCTACTGGCTTCAGCCTTGGCTGTTGTGGCCATCTGGGAATGGAACCAGCAGATGAAGATCTCTCTCCCTCCCTCTGTCTCAGTCTCTCTCTCCTCTTGCTTCCAAGTAAATCAATATATCTTTTAAAAACAAAACCAGAGTCTTAACAACGTGTCAAGACACCTGCTTCTTTCAGACAAGGCAACAACCCAGAGGGTTGAGAGATTTGCCTCTGGCTATGTGCATGGCTGCATGGGAACTCTGTTTCAAATCCCATGTGTACCAATCTGTTGAAGGTTTTAAAACGTCCTCTGACTAGGATGAAACACACAGGATTCCCGACTGTGGCTGGTCGGATTGGTGAGCTTCATGTCACCTTCTATCAGGAGGAGGGGGAAAGGGCAGACACGGGGAGCCACGGAGGGCAGGGGAGTGAGAGCCTCGGTCAGTTCAGAGGCGCAGACACAGGAGCTCCACAGGACAGGGCTGCACACTGCACTCCCACCCTGTTCTTTCCCTGTCACCTGTCACTTGGCGGCTGCCCTTCCCATCCTGCGTGCCCCCTGGTCTCTCCTCAGCCTCGGCCGCCCCTGGCGTTGACAGGAGCCACTGAGACAGGTCAGCGTGCAGCCGGGCCACCTCTTTCTTTCCCGCTGGGGCGCTCCAGGAGTCCGCAGCGACTGGGTGGGTGCCTGAGGCGGGCCGAGGCGGCCGGGTGAAGCTCCCCCTTTGGTGCGGGGAGGGACGGCTAGCTGGAGGGGAGGTGGTGCTCCCCTGGCAGGCCCAGGTCAGTGGGGCAGGAGGCCAGGAGGCGCAGAGCGAGCCCGGGGGAGAGCTGGATCCGGTTTCCGAAAAGCCTCCTGGTCGAGCGGCTCGGCTCCGGACGCCTCCTGGCGGCCAGGCTGGTGCCCGCCCTGCTCCGCGGCTGGTTATGGGGGGCCAGGGCTGGGGAGCACGGCTGCTGTCCGGGTGCACGCCGCAGGATCCTCCCAGCCCCACTTGCCCCACCTCCTGGACAACGGCTGCCATAGCCTTCCTCCTTCCGGCTGGTTTTTATTTTGTTTTCAGCTTTCTTTGGCCGCTAACGCAATTGTCTCCGGGGCCGGGAAGTACAGGCACGCAAAGCTGTTTGTCGTGCAAGGGCCTGGAAAGCACCTGCCGAAAGGCCCCAGTGGGGGCGGCGCCGCCCAGAACGGAGCCCAGGAGCCTGTCCGTCACGAACAACGGGGGAGACTGTGCTTCCCGAGGAACGGGGTCCGCGGCAGGTGAAATGAGAAGACCACAAGCCGAGTGTCATGCACAGAACAACGCCCCGTTACCACGAGTCTAGCTGGCTCCTTCCCCCTTTGTCTAGACAAAGGAAATTTACAGATTACGCACCTCATTCTTTTGCGCAGTTTCTTGTTGTGTGTGTGTGGTTTTTTGTTGTTGTTGTTAATCCTTGCAAGGGGGAAGTTTAGACAATTCTGTGTTGTTTTATATCAACAGGAAGCTGTGCAGTTATACATATAATTATAATCTAGGTGACTGAAATCAAATGAGTTACAAAAGTCCTAATAGCCTCTGCAAGTCGGGCTATGGCTTAGGAAGGTACCAAACCTACACACATACAGCCCTCTCCATGAGAGGAGATGTGTGATGGCTAGAGGTTAGGATAAGTACAACCATTCATGCCACTCGGGGTCTCTAAATGGAAGGACTTAAAGGCATTTTATTTAAAAAAAAAAAAAAATTGATTGATGCACTCCATCCAAATCTCCCACGTGGATTGAAGCTGCTCTAGCAACGTGATACATTCACAATCAGAATGCCCAGTATTGTAAACTATCCAATCTCCAAACTGGGTTTCAACGATCTCTGGAACTCACACCCATGCATGGGCATTTGCCCCTACCAAGCCGGTCCACATGGCCAAGCAAATACGCTGCAAGTGATGGTATGTCATCAAGGATATTCCACCTTCTGGCTCAGGCTCTCTCGCTCTCTCAACACTGTTGTGAGACTCGTGCACACAGGGTTTGCAGCTTGCTGCCAACAGCTGTGGAGATGGACCATGTTGTGCCATGAGGTCACTGCTGAGGCTGCTGTACACTGCTGGCTGGGGCAGAGGGCTCACCTGGCCAGCGCTACAGAATGACTCAGTGAAAGGAAGATCTTCCTCTCTGTCTCTGCTCTCTGTAGATCTGACTTTCCAATAAAAATAAATAAATCTTTAAAAAAATAGATTTATATAAAAAATTGATGGTGATAGAGTATTGACCTAAGAGGACCTCAAGTTGTAAGATTTTACAATGTCATATATTGTCAGGCCCCGGTTTTAGGAGACAGAGAGAAAGATCTGTCTGCCGGTTTAATTCCCAAGTAGCCACAATGGCCACAGCTGAGTCGATTTGAAGCCAGGAACCAGGAGCTTCATCCAGATCTTCCATGCTGATGCAGGGTCCTAAGGCTTTAGGCCGTCCTCTACTGCTTTCCCAGGCCATAAGCAGGGAGCTGGGTGGGAAGCAGAACAGCCAGGACATGAACCAGCGCCCATATGAGACCCCAGCACACACAAGGCAAGGATTTAGTCGCCAGGCTATCGTGCCAGCCCCACCTCCACTGCTTTCTAAGGATAGTAAATAAGTCCTTTTAAACATATTTTACTTATTTATTTTAAAAGCAAAGTTTCCATTCATCCTTCCATTGGTTTACTCTGCAAATGGCTGCAGCAACTGGGGCTGGGCCAAATCAAATCATTACTGTAATTTAAAGCACATTAAAACTCTTGCTGAGATTTTTTTTTTTTTTTTGCTTGCAAATATGTATTTGAAAGTCAGAGTTACAGAGAGTTGGAGAGACAGAGAGAGATTGGAACAGGCCAAATCTAACAGCTTTATCCGGGTCTCCCATGTAGATAGCAGGGGTGTAAGCCCTTGGGCCATCTTCCAGTACTTTCCCCAGGCCATTAATCAGAAGTGGAGCAGCAGACCCACGAACCAGCACCCATATGGGATGCTAGCATCACAGACAGAGGCTTTACCCAGCTACGCTCCACACTCAAAATTTTGTAGAGTGTGGGTTTTCTCAAATTCTGCCCAGAGAGAAGTGAAACCAAGCAGAGATCATCTCTAATGAGTATAGGAGTTAGAAGCACAAGACACAGAGATTACAAAACTCATAGCAGGGCCACTGCGTGCAAGCACACACACACACACACACATTTCTGACTTCAGCAGCAAAGCCCAGACCTGCGGTCAATCGCACCAGACCCAGTCCCACCAGACCCAAGCTCTCCCAGGCAGCTCTTTTCCATGACTGTTTCCTGGCCCGTCTATGGTTAAGAATCGGGGAGCTCCACAGGGCGTCTGTCTGGGCTTAATGGATAAGGAATGCATGAGACGGCCAGACACACAGTGGGAAACAGTGTGCATTCTCCCCGTTTCACAATCCAGAGACTGACCCCTTGCTCACTTGCTGGAATCAAAACAACATGAAGGCAGACGGTTCTGGGACGCAGCACATAAAGCTACTGCCTGTGATGGATGCTGACATCCCACACGGGCACCAGTTCGAGTCCTAGCTGCTCCACTACTGAGCCAGCTCCCTGCCAATGCTCCTGCGAAAGCAGCAGAAGGTCCAAGTGTTTGGCTCCCACACCCATATGAGAAGCCGGGAAGAAGCTCCTGGCTTCTGGTTTTGGTGTGGCTCAGCCCTGGCCTTTGTGGCTATTTGGGGAGTGAACCAGCAGAGAGAAGACATCTCTCTGTAATTGCTTTTCAAATAAATACGTCTGAAGAACAAAAACAACATGAGGTGGGGCGAGTGCAGTGCATGGCTGCTTCTCCCTGCCTAGCATGCATCTCCATTCTCCAGTTTTAAAATTCTCGGGTGATGAGTGGGAGTGTGACTCAGGACTTAAACTGATGCACCAACACTAGGGGCAAGGATTGACCCTCTGTGACCATGGCTAAGGGAGCTGCTGCCCCAAGGTGCTCCCCTGCAGGGCAAGGATCTGCATGCAGTTGGAGAGGGCAGAGCAACCTATAGAGATGCCAGCATGCCGGGTCCCTCCCAGGCCCTCTCTTGTGATCTTGTTTGAGTTCAGGTTTTGGGTGTTTGACACCAGTAGGTCTGTAACTTGCTTTCCCTCTCCAATTACCTGGCCAGGGCCATGCAGAGACGGAATCTGGACCAGACCATCCTGCAGGCCTGCTTTACCCAGAGAGCCCTTGGGGCCTCTAAATCCAGTCATCCATCTCCTTGTCAGATGCAGGTTCCCTTAGACAAGTTCCTTCCTTTGCTTCACTCAGGGTGACTGTTTTTTTTTTTTTTTAAGATTTATTTTTATTATTTTTTATTGGGAAGGCGGATATACAGAGAGGAGAGACAGAGAGGAAGATCTTTCATCCGATGATTCACTCCCCAAGTGAGCCGCAACGGCCGATGCTATGCCGGTCCGAAGCCAGGAGCCTCTTCCGGGTCTCCCACGCGGGTGCAGGGTCCCAAAGCTTTGGGCCGTCCTCGACTGCCCTCCCGGGCCACAAGCAGGGAGCTGGAAGGGAAGCGGGGCTGCCGGGATTAGAACCGGCGTCCATATGGGATCCCAGGCGTGCCAGGCGAGGACCTTTAACCACTTGCGCCACCGCGCCGGGCCCCAGGGTGACTGTTTTTTAGTGAGTGGTGTCATGTGTGACTGTGCCCAGTCCAGCAGGTACAGCAGGAAGTCCTGAGGTGTCAGGCT